ACGGCATCAGTGAGAGGTAGGACAAGGCCCCTACCCCAAAGGTCACCAACATCTAGTGAGGGAGATGAGGGTGTAGGCTTACAACATGGGGGTAAATGGACTGACAATGATGTGTGGGGGGAGGGGAGGGCCTACCTTGAGGAGATCACGCTTTGCTTGGTCTTGAGCTCCAGTAGATGGCTGCGCTGTCAACGGCAAGTTCGTTATCGCCAACATCTCCTCACCCAGGGGCCGTCTGCTTTGACACACAAGCCACAGATCTTACAGAGTGGGCGCCCAAGAGCACCCACTGCCTGCCTGCTTAGGCAGTCTGAACCTGGAGCTCAAGAGGCAAGTCATGTGCTCCAAGTGCGGCTCTTCCTGGATGGGCCAAGTCTAGGGATGGCTTCGATGAAACCATGGATTCTCAAGATAAGAACGGTCTCATCCATCCCTGGGACGTCACTGACCAGCCGGTGCTAGACAATATAGATTCCCAGACTGTATATCCAGTTTATTCTATTGGCTTGGAGCTGGAAATAGGTTCATACAAATTCATCTCAAGAGAAAGATTTCACAGAGCATTTGCAAACGTCATTATTCTACTCTCTCTGTTCTTAGTAGCAGCCACACTTCTCACCAATAAAAAAAGGGGTAAGAAAGGATCCTGATCCTCTCCTTTCCAGTGACCTTGTGTCTTATTTGCAGCTCCATGATTTATAAAATATCCAACTCTCGTTTCAGTCTTCTCAAGATGGCACAGTGGTCAATGTCCACATTTCTATGTAATATCCCCAAATTATTGCTGTGGACAATTGAAAGCAATTAGTTGGGATAATATAAAGAACAAAGAGAGTCTATTTTCATCACCTTGCTAGGAATGGACAGTCAAGTATGTTGATAACTGCAGGGCCTTCTTTGTCCTTATCCCAGAATCCACTGCTCTCCAATCTTGTGATGAAATTGCTTTTCCTGGTGGTTTAGACTCACCCACTGGAGGAAGATCTCTGTAATAATCAGGTTGTCCCAACGAGGAGGAATATTTCTCCACACATGCCCCCAGCCCTGGCTCATCCTCTTCCTTCATGATCTCCACAGGCTGGCTCTGACTCTGCTCCATATTCTAGGAAAGAATCTCCCAAGAACTGGGGCTGAACCTGAAGGGAAGAGGCTGTGGGAATGAGGAAGGGAGAGAGAGCTTTTCTTCTGTGGAACTGCACCTCCTCAGGGCGTGGGCCATGTCTGTTCTCACATGACCCCTAGTCCTGACTGCAGAGAGCAGGTGCTTTTATTAGTCTGCTCAGACTGACATGACAGAAATGCCAGAAACCAGGTGGCTCAAATGACAGAAATGTATTTTCTCACAGGTGTGGAGGCTGCAAGTCCAAGACCAGAGTGTGTCAGGGTTGGTTTCGGGTGAGGGTTTTCTTCCCGGTTTATACACAACCGCCTTCTTGCTCTGTCCTCACGTAGCCTTTCCTCTCCGTGGGTATAGGGAAAGAGGACTCTCAGGTATCTTCCTTTTTTATTTAACGACATTAGTCCTGTGGATTAAGGCCTCACCCTTATGACCACACTTAACCTTTATTACCTTCTTATAGGCCCTATTTCCAAATACAGTCACACGGGGGGTTATGGCTTCAACATGTAAACTTCAGGGGGACATAATTCGATCCACGACAGTGCACCATATATATTAGTGGGATAGATCAGTTAGTGACTAGTGAATGGTGGATCAATTGAATAAATGAATGATTCAGTGATTGATTCTTGGTGGTCAGCTGGAAGAAGGAGAAAAGACTTGAACAGAGCAGGAAGCTCCTCTAAGGCCCTTCAGAGCAGCCCTGAAGCCAGAAGGACCCTGCAACTTCAACTGCAAGGTCTCAGCCTTTCTCCTGTCTCATTGCTGGAGGCCAGGAAGGTTGTGTAAGGGATGTGGAAGGTCACAGATGTAGGTTTCATTCCACGTGGATCAGTTAACTTCGTTTTGAGAAAGGCTATTCCACAGCAGCAGCCAGGAGGCATTAGGTATCAGGAGCTAGACATGGACAATTTAGAGTAACTCAGAGACAAACAAATGCCAAAAAGAACAGGGATGAACTCATCTCATCTAGTCTTCCGACACTGAAATGCCGCTACCAAACAAACAAAATGTGAATGCCACACTGCGTCTGAATGCATGTATTCTGTGTGATGGAAGTCCACATTCTAAAAAATTAAAGTGGAGACTTGGGTTCATCTCAGTCTTACAGCCTTTTAAAAGCTAATCTTTAAATTGTTTTAAGAAAAAATATTTAGGAATAAAAAAAGCACCAGAGGAAATGAAATCACCCATAAAATTTCTTGACATCTCAATAGCATTGTTCCCAAGCTTTCCTTTTACATCCTTGAATTGCACATGGAGAGCTTTTCAATAGATACATTCGCATTTATACAATAGTTTTCCAGGTCTGTATAGGACTCCCAGAGGATTTGCACTCACACGTGTCCTGTGGCTCTCTGATGTAGTTCACTCGATTTTAGTCTGGGAATAGGATCCTTTTGTTACCAGCACAAACCAAGGCAGCAGAAAAGAGAGTTTGCTTTCTCTCAGTTTACATATAGCCCTGTACATTTCATGAGCTGCTATTGGCATATTCAAAAACCCACATAATCCAACATGTCTGCCATTCTCCAGATGGCTAACCAGCTTGTCCCGTAACATAAATATTAGGTGATTTGCATTTGGGTAGTTGAAAAAATGAATTTTTTCCTTTTTCCTTTTCAACCAATGAGGTTTTGGGAGGAGGTGAATAACAAAGTATACCAACAGTCCTGCCTCCGAAGGCTCTCTCCTCCTTACTTCCCGTGACACGCTGCCTTTCCCATCAAGGACTCGTCACGCATGCTATTGGTGCACCAGATACAGGGCTCTCGCACCTTGTTACACTCTGTTAGTAATTTCACTCCTTCTACACAGGCCTACCAAACGGCAATTTTCTAACAAATTGCATTTTCCAGTTAATATTGGCTCTCCAATGTCATAGTCTCTATGGAGAAAAATCAATGTTGGTAGGAAATTCCCACAAAAAAACTGACATTCTCCGTGAGGGCAGTTCATCTTTTTCTTGCTTCCCTTGTGCCTCTGTTACATTTATGCTGGCCCTGGACTGTGACGGAGTCGATGTCCCCTGGGTGGAAAATCAGGGGCTAGAAAGTGAGCATGTTAAGTTAGGAAAGGCGTAAGGGAATCCCTTTTTTCTGAATGCTTCGTAAGATGCACTACATACTGAATTAAGTACTTTATGTGTTTTGTTTTCTAACTCTAACCATATGAGGCAGGAATTACGGATACTTTTAAGATAAGAAAACTGAGGGTAGGGACAAGGGTGGAAATAATGCTGAATATTGCCACAGTGCTGTGCGGTAGACACGTACGGTATGGAGACTATTCCATTTCCCCTCCGAGGTGCCTTAGGAGGTAGGGGTCCTCGGGGCATTCCACAAGTGGCAGAATGGGGCTGAGCGCAGGTTTCTGTGCCTCCCAACCCTACCTCTATTCAGTTCACCATGAACTCTACCAGATACACCAAACTGATAACAGATTTTAAGATGTTAGGAAGGAGAAAACTAGATAGATTGCTTAAAACAACTAAAACTGAAACATGGTTAAGTAAGAAAATACTCTTAAGCAATTAAGAAAACACAATATAAATTAGTGCTTTTATACAAACCTTTCTTTTTTTTTTTAGATTTTATTTATTTATTTAGAGAGAGGGGAAGGGAGAGAGAAAGAGAGGGAGAGAAACATCAATATGTGGTTGCCTCTCACATGGCCCGCACTGGGGACCTGGCCTGCAACCCAGGCATGTGCCCTGACTGGGAATTGAACTGGCGACCCCGTGGTTCACAGCCCGAGCTCAATCCACTGAGCTACACCAGCCAGGGCATATAAACCTTTCTTAATGAATTTTTCTCTGGCCCTCAATCCCTTTAAAACCTGTCCTGGCTTTTGAGAATATCTTCTGTTTTGTTTTTTTTTATATCCTCACCTAAACTCTGAAACCTTCTCATCGCTCCTGTTCACACATTACCACACGCCCGCCTCCTTCCTGACGGGTGGTGTTCAGTGCGTACCTGGGAAACTCCAGTGCACGGGCCCAGGCGGGCAGGCGTTTCCCTGACGCTCCTCGAAATGAGGTTCAGGAGACGTCTCTTTTTTATATTGCAATATAATGGACAAATAATATTATATTGATATACATTAGAGCTGTACGGTGACTCAACAATTTGATATACATGTGAAATGATTACCAGAATCAAGGTAATGAACACATTTATTACCTCATATAATAATAAGTTATTATTATTGTTGTTATTATTGGTGAGAACATTTAAGATCTACTCTCTTAGCAAATTTTAAGTGTACAATAGTGTTGTTAACTGTAGTCAGCAGGCTATACATTAGATTCTTATTTTTTTTATAACTGAAAGTTTATACCCTTTGGCCGTTCTCCTCATTCGTCCCAGCCCCCTGGGAACCATCGTTCTACTCTTTATTTCTATGAGTTCAACTTTCACGTTTTACTTTTAGATTCCACATGTGAGGTCATACGATATTTGTCTTTCTCTCCCTGGCTTATTTCACTTAACATAATGTCCCCCCCCAGGTTTGTCCATGTTGTCGCAAATGGCAGGATTTCCTTATTTTAAAAGGCTGACTAACATTCCATCTGTACATACATACCACGTTTTTTTTACCTATTTACCCGCTGACAGGAACTTAGGTCGTTTCCACAGCCTGGCTCTTGTGGATAATGAACACGGGAGTGCAGGTATGTCCTTGAGAGTCTGATCATACTTCCTGGATCACACCCACAGGTAGGGCTGCTGGATCGTAATGTGGGTCTCATTTTAATTTTTTGAGGAGCCTCTATATTCTGTCACCCATAATGGCTTTCCCGGTTTACAATCCCACCAACCGTGTACAAATGTTCCCTTTTCTCCCCATTCCTGCCAACTTTTGTTTTCTCTCTCAACAGGCTGGTCCACTCAGGGCCAGGGAAAGGATCGCCCCAGGCTGGTGTGGATCTGTCCTTCGCAACACGGACGGGTACCAGACAGGGGATCGAAACCCATCTCTTCAGGGCTGAACTCAGCAGGGAGCTCTCCCACTGGACAAGGAGCATAGTGCAGGGTTGCCACGACTCAGCGGAACTCACTGCCCAAGTCACCACAGGTGAGCACCGGCTGGCCACAGGCCCCCGAAGTCACCCTCTCACGGAGGGACGCACCCTCTTCTTCATCCTGGCCTCAGAGTAGTTCCCATTACTGGCCTGGAAGTCCAGAGGTAAACTTCAGTTTTCCTAAATTAAGGCACACCAAATGCTCTACTAACTTGGAGCCTAAGGGTTAGACTGTGAAAAGCATAATCCCATCTTCATTCAAGAAAACTTAGAGAACCCTGACCAGCACTGCTCAGTGGATTGAGCATCAGCCCACAAAGCATAAGGCTGCTGGTTCAATTCCTGGGCAGGGCACACGCCAAGTCACAGGGGAGGGCACACGCCAAGTCGCAGGCCAGGTCCCTGGTTGGGGCGCATGTGAGAGGCAACTGATCGATGTTTCTCTCACATATTGATGTTTCTCTCCCTCTTTTCCTCTTTCCCTTCCTGTCTCTAAATAAATAAATAAAATATTTAAAAGAAAACAGTGATTTAGCAAGTGAGATGTGACACTCTTTCCTATAATCCCGAGTGGCTTACTGGAGACATAAACTAGCAAGGTTCTTGTAAACAACAGAAACTGATTCTGAGTAGTACTTTCTCACAGAATAAAGTCATTGTACATATATTAGGAAGCTCACAGAAGTGATCAGAAAACTGGACAACCAGGCTCTGAAAAAGAGCCGGCGCCAGAGGGATCTAGGTAGGGCTGAGCAGAGCAAAGGGTTTGTGCTCGGGAAGAGTCCGCAGTCGGCCAGCCCTGGTGTGCGAGGCGAGGCGGGCGGGATGGAGGGAGCACGCAGGTGAGGGCAGTCCGCACTCTCGTAGTGAGTGCGCTAAGAAAGGACGGGTTAGAAATGGGACAGGCGTGTAGCAGAAGAACCCTCTACACCAAACTGTGGGTTGAGCAGTTGCCATACGCCGAGCATTTTATAAAATGTCCCTCAGTGTTTTTCATACTCTGAGAAACCACCCTTTTGGGGTCCTGAGATCAATACCAATGTTTTAAAAATGAAATAATTTGGAATAGAAATACCAGTATAAATGCTGTTTTGTGTTGTAGCACCATCCAGGGGTGTGTGTGTGTGTATGTGTGTGAGTGTGTGTGTGTATGCAACACAATACTTTGCCTCCTCTTATCTGTTAACCCTCCCGATCCCCTTGTCATTGTAACTTTACAAATTGAGCAGCACATTCTTCAGTTACTTGCCCAAGACCACACAACTGATAAACAACAGAACCGACTCTAACTCTGTGTTCTGTCTCTCTGAAGTCCACTCTTCATTCACTGCATTGTCTACAGACATGGAACTTCTCACTGTGTCGCCAGTTTTCCAAAAACAATTCTGTTCCGACTGCTGTGATAAGTAATTTTCATGCCACCCTCCAACTCACACAGGTAGGTAGGTAGGTAGGTAGGTAGATAGCGGATACATAGCTGATTGAAATGATAGGTAGATAGATAGATAGATAGATAGATAGATAGATAAATAGATAGACAGAAACAAACACAATGCAGGCTGCAAAATCTTGTCCATTTGCTAAGGTGGATTCCACACCTAACCCAGTGTTGCTTTACCCACCAGCACAATGCAGTTAACGCTGTGGTTCTGAGCTCTAGCACAGACTGTTTTGGGTTCTGAGATCTAAGACCAAATTCTCCCAGGTCTCCCACGGTCACTCCTGAAGAGGGCATCATGTGACATGGTGCGTGGCATCCTCAACACCAGTGTCCAGAAAACCCAACTGCGACAGCCTTAGGGTTGCTTCTGACCACATCCCGGTTCTCCCTGTTCCACTGCGCTTCCTTGCCACTTCTTTCATTTTTCTCTGTCTTTGAGGAAGCAGGACAAGGTAATAATGACAAGCATGGGCTTTAAAGTCAGATGCGCCTGGATTCAAATTCCAGCTCCATTTCTTTCTCAATCTCTTACTGAAACCCCTTAGCTTTTTCATCCATAAAAAGGAGGAAATAATAGTACCTATCTCACAGGGTGTCATCAAGAATTGACGGAAATAATCCATGCAAAGCACCTAGTACTTGGCACATAGTAAGTGCTCACTAAGTGTTATTAGTGGTTTTTCTTGTCATTCTTTCTCCATACCTCTTCAATACCTGTGCAATATGCTAGCCTCTGGTCATATGTAGCTATTTAAATTTTAGTCTGTTAATAGTCAATAAGTTCCTCAGTCACACTTGCCACACTTCATGTGCTCAACTGCCACTTACACCTGTAGGGCTGCCCTACTGAACAATGCAAACTTACAGCCTTTCTTTCCTGCCGCGGTGGGAAGCCCTGTGCTGCAGCTGTGGCCCTAATGGAGGATTTCCCAGGGGACATCATGGGTACAGCGTTTCTGAACTTCAGTTGCACTGACAACAACAGAAACGAAGTTTTAAAGTTTTACTCTCAAAAGCCTCAGACTGCTGACTGCCACCCCCAGAGAATCCGGGTCCACAGTTCTGGGCGGGGGCCCGAGTATTCGTACCCAGTAAGACTCCAGGCGGAGCTGCTGCTGCCGCTCCAGCAGTCTCTGTGCCTGGCCCTGTGCTGGGAGCGGCTTCCTCCGTCACTCGGGGGCATTCTGAGACGGGACACACCCCGACATGTGGTAGGGTTTCTCCACATTTCCTCTACTCGCACAAACACGAAAAACCAGTTATTTTGTACAAGTTTCCTGTGTCTTCAAGGTAATCAACCTTTTTGAAACTACCCTGAAACAACTAAGTGTTCCCAAATATTTCTAACATCATTGAAAACTTTTTTGGGGTGTCACTGATAATCTCTAATTTTCTGTGCCCATTCTATATGGCAAGAAGCACTGGAGTGCTTGAACCCAAAGTCGGACAAGGCCGGAGCCAGCTGAAAACAGAACCGAGTGAAGGTTTATGTGTCATACCGCAGGAGTTCAGGCTTCTTGCGACAACTTCAGGAGAGTCCTTAGGGAAGAATAAAGATTGCCAAAGGGATTTGGTTTAGCATACATTCCACAAATTTTGTAAAACCCTTTTCTCTCAACAAAATAAACTCTGTTTCAACAGGAAAACAACGAGGCTGTTGATAGGACCAGCCAAAGCATCAGAGGACGGAGCTAGCTGGGTGCGGGGAGAAAAGAAACAGTGGGAACGAGCCAAGGTGCCACCCAGCTACGAACTGAAAGATGGCGGCAGGGGCGGGGGAGGGGCTGAGGCTTTGCTGGAGCTTCAGTTCGCTTGATAATGCGTTCAATTTGTCCTCTGTAGATTGAGGACGTCTTCAGATAACCAGTCCATTCCATAAAGACCATGAATACCATTCGAAGTCAGCCGGGATTAAAAATAATCACAGCCAGTTAATTCAGACTATCTGATGGCATAGCTCTAAAGTTCAAACACAGAAAAAGGGAATCAAAGACACCCAAAGTCAGAGCCCATTCACCCATATATTCTGTAGGTTGGCGAAGTGAAAACTGTCTAAACCAAGGATTTGAGATGAGAAGCCATAATGACTTCTCTGCTGCTGTCCTTGGTCATCCTTGGACGGGAGGGTGGGCAGGTCTAGGGCCCTTTGCAAAGGACGGACAAGACTTACTGAGGACAAGATCTGCTGCAAAGGCCTGTGCGAGAAGGCACCTTTGGGAACATCAGCCTTTAGTTACAAGTGGAAAGTTGCTGCAGTCACAGGAAGGGGCGTATGTTTCAACTAGACCTTCAGGTAGAAGCCGCCTCATTCCGTGAGCACATACAGACACTATTCCCCCTGCCGCACTCGAAGGCCTCCCCCGCTGCACTGCTGTCGTTACTCATCGAAGCCAAGGTCCCGCTCCACACCCCTCCACATCCTGAGCACTGGAGTGAGAGAAGATACGAGGCACTGAGGGGAAAGAACTTGAATTTTGAAATCTAAACCACCTGGGTTGTGACATGTTCCCCGCGCTCATCTTTGCTTTTCTCACCTGTTAATATTCAGCTAAGGTTCTGGTACAGAAGTGTGTGGCAAAGTGACATTGAGTTTGGTGTATAATGCTGAGCCAAGCTAATGATGGTATAGAACAATCAATAACTCCCTTACTCTACTCTTCCTAAACCCCGTCCCCAGCAAGTAAAACATTCCGTGTCTATCTGTCCCTATAGAACTTTCTCATGTTTATGAGGCCTGGGCTGCTTTGTTTGCCAGGGTCTATTAAATGTGATGTTTTGTGAAGCCCCAAACCAAAAATCCAAGTAGTACTTGTTAACTAACCCTTTTCAGGACTCTTTGGCCAAGGGTTGTAAATATTCACGTCTTCCTAAATGGGACCTTGGACCCTGGTGGCAGTCCCTTCACCCGGCTCAGACACCCACAGTACGTCTCTTTCTCTAAACGAAATGAGCACAGCAGCACACGTGAGAGCTGGCACCTGACTGGACCGAAAGGTTCCAGTTTTGTCCCTTTGGATCAGAAGGCTCCATGCGCACAGCACCCGAGGTTCCTGGACCCCACATCGAGCACAGGGAGGAAATGGCACTCTTCCCAGACCATGCGACAGCAGCCCGTGGCCCTGGAGTCATCAGAATTTGAAAAGCTCCCCTTTATGTTTATAAAGCCAGCTTTGTTCTGCTTTCTTAAAACTAAAAATTAGGTTGTGATTGACTCATGCCTGAGTTCTTAGGTGTGCCACGCTTGTTACCTTTGGCGATGTGATGGGGATGCTTGCTCTCTCACCAGGAGACACCGACTGGCTGTGTGTGTGTGTGTGTGTGTGTGTGTAAGGGAGAGAGAGAGATGATGATGATGATGATGATAATGATGGTGATGACAGTGATGACTCAGAGGTGGCTTACTCTAAATCAGACATCAGTTCTTCCCCGGCCTGAGACCGACACACAACCCTCCCTGTGTGTCAGTCATCAGACGGCCGGACCAGGGCTGGAGGCGTGACAAAATGCAGTGAGTCCCAGCGAATGGGACTTCTCTCCATTCATTTCCTTTAGTTGCACGAACGAAGTCAAATTACAAGATAAAAATCAATCCAAGGAGAATATTTTCATGAACAATTACTAATTTTTGACTTTAGAAACTCGTGGCTGGCTCCTGGGACTGAGGAGATTGAGTGCCCTTGAACATGAACTGACTTTCATCGTTCCTCTCTTTCTCACCCCTCAGCTTGCACCTACAAAAACCAGGACTGCCGCCTGACCATTCATTATGACAATGGGTTTTCTGTTACCACCGAACCACAGGAGGGCGCCTTTCCCAAGACGATCATTCAGGCTCCGTACGAAAAGTTGAAAATGTCTTCAGATGATGGAATCAGGATGCTGTATTTAGATTTTGGAGGCAAAGATGGAGAGATTGTAAGTGCACTTTTCTTTATAAAGTGCGATTTCCTGTATTTCATTGTGCAACACACCTATAATGCCCTGCAAACATAATGCTGCCTTGTGTTTGTTTAGCACTGGGCTATTAACTAAGTACTTGTAGGTTCATGTCTTATCTGATCCTTGAAAAACAGTGACTGAATTCTATTTTTTTCACAGTTCCTTATGTTAGTCTTATTTGCCACTAGAATACTATGTGCCTATTTGAATCCAAAGAAAGAATCCTTTAAAAGTCAGCATTAAATTATTCTCGAATAGTGTACTATTCGAGAATAATTTATGCCACCTTTAGCACACATTCATCTTTTGAGAGTATCAAGCATCTGATCTCACTCGGGCGTTGTGCTAGGTGTCAGGATGCATGTAGGGATGTGAACCGTGCGGTCCTGGCCATTGGGGAGGTCTCACAGGAGCAGACAGCGCAGAGGTGGGAGGTGCTGGAAGTGGGCAGAGTCCAAGTGGCCGTGGGGAGAGGGCCAGGAAAGGGCCAGAAGTTGGAGATAATGTCAGATGTCCAACAAAACTAGCAAATTTGCCAGTGAAAGTAACATACTTTTCCTATCAATGCAAATAGCTGCTGTATTTAAATTCACTATTTCCTGTGATCCTTACCGCACACCATGATGAAAAAGGACATTAGTTCAGTCCCTTGAAAGAGTGAGAATTGCACTTTCCTTTCTCAGGAAGACAGAGCATCTCATTTAAACTGTGGAATGCTTGACGTCAAAGAGGACCAAGGTTTTATAATCTCTGTTTAGGTCCTGCCTAGTCACCAGGCTAATCAACAAATATTTATTGACTTCCACGTGATAACAGGGAACAGGCTATATAAATACAGGGAGAAATCTGTTTTAAAGGTCTACTCATTTAAATTCAGCTACTGGCCTTCCGCAGCCTTCTCTTCCCCACCCCCGTCTCTGTCCAGTTATTTCACTGGTAATTCTCTGAAAACCACTGAGTTCCCTAGCAGGGGCTGATGGAAGGAAAGGGCCAGGACCACACTTAAAAGAGCAGAGGGGCCATTCCTCCCAAAGCTGCAGCACCGCTGTTCTAGAACATGCCATCCTACTACCACAACACAATACCAGATGTTTTTCTGTGGAAGCCGCGGCAGTCACAACAGAATTGATGCCCGGTGGCTGACAGTTGATCTGAACTCACTTTCAGAGAACGTTTTCCAGCTGGTCGTTTTTCTGACCTTTACAATGAATCTGCCGCATTTTACAGTATTTTGGGGGTTGTCATTTATTTGTATGTTCCACTCAGCAAAGTCAGCGTGAGGCAGCGGATGGGAAATAAATAAGTGATCTGAAAGTCCATTTTACTGAGAATGCTTCTAGTTCAGCTGCTGTCCTGCCAATCACCCAGCTGCGTACGCTCCCCTAGAAAAGTTGAAAAGAACAAGAGCCAATCTCTTGCTTTATCCTTGACTGGAAAATTCAAGGCTGTTACTGCCTGTGAGGAAAATCGTTTATGTCTAAATATCAGCCTTTCTGCCTATAATTATGAGCTGACTTGGAAGACTTAGGAAAGACTACTTTTCTTGCTCAGGTTCACAGATAGCTCCCCCAAAGTATCCTGGTTAAGCAGCCCCAGGCGCAGGCAGCAGGTTTTCCCAGTGTGGGAGCAGAGCACTGTGGGAAATGCAATGCACTGAGGGTCAAGAGACGGTGTTCTCTAAGTCTGGAACCGAGTACTGACTGTCTTGGGCAAATCCATTTATTTCTTTGGATCTCAGTCCCCCATCCATAAAATACAGGGACTGAAGTAGGTCATCTTTAAGGTGACTGCCAAAAGCTGCGTCTGGTGTGGGTGAAATAGGGTACTGTGGTGAAGCCCGGTTTCTGGCATCAGACGGACTTGTGTGTGAGTCCACGGTTTCTCAGAGCTCTGACATCTCTGATCTCGGGAAGTTTTGTAACTGCACCAAATCTTAGTTTCCCGTGGAAATCACAGAGATAACAACCAGAGCTACCTCACAGGGATTCTGTGAAAATGAAATAAGACAGCATAGAGGAAATATAGCACGGTGCCTGTTTCATAATATGTAAAACCTTAACTTTCGTAGATACATGGTCAGGTTATTCCTTTCCAGAAATGCCATCATCAGAAGAGAACTGGGGACAACTCCCCCAGGTCTCCTGAATTCGGTCGGGTGATAAAAATTCAACCTGACCCTTATGCTCTGACCACGTGTCGCCTCTGTAGGAACAGAAGGGGGAGGGTGAGACTTTCAAAGGGGCCTTACGGGACATGTAATGCACTTGCCTACAACAATCCAAGAAGACAGGGTGGAGGCCAGTAAGGACACAGTTGCTTAGCAGATGAGCTCTGCATTTGTAACGTGTAAAGAACTTTCACACACAGTGTCCCACTGAACACTCTTAATTACCCTGTGAGTTAGGCAGCACCATGAAAAAGTTTAAGCAAGTCATCCCAGATTCTACACGGAAAAGGGCTAGAGCCAGGACTCAAACCAAATCTCCACATGTGGAATTCAGTGCTGCTTCATGCTGTACCAAATCCAACGTAAATAATATCACGTGATAGTGTGTATCACGGTATCATTCATCACAAAAATAGACAGTCGAGAAGGGCAACATCAGTATTTATGCTACTGGTTTTTACAGAACCAATTTCTGTAAAAACCAGTAGCAAAAAAGTAGGAAAAAAGATATATGAGATGTAAGGAATAAGTTCAAAGAGTTGTTTTTTAATCTCCTTGAAGGGGAAGCATTTAAAAACATTAATTGCCCCAGTTCACTCTTAAAAGCAGTTAGTGCACTGGTCCGTTTGATGTGTAAATCGCTATTCCGTACCAAGCCTTAACTTGAAAAGCCCCTCACACTCTCTCCTTTCCAAATTTCAGTCGCTGGACCTTCATTCCTGCCCCAAGCCAATTGTTTTCATCATCCATTCCTTCCTGTCGGCTAAAATCACAAGACTGGGCTTGGTGGCCTGAACACAGCAGCGACCTGCCTTTTGAGAGGAGGGCTGGCTGTGACACCCCCAGGAAGTGTGCCATCAGATGTCGCATGCCAGTCAGCTCTCCATCCCAAGAGTCCTTCGTAACTGTCCCGCAACTCTCCTGCCGGTTTCACCAACTACAAGGGGGCGGCCTGGGAGAAGGCACCACCGGGAACATCAGAATAAAACTGAATGGGTAAGCAGGAGGGGGCGACTGGAAATACACAGCATAGCCTTTGACAATCAAGACTTGAACAGTAGAACAGCATGTGCAGATCTCAGTCATACCAGTTTCTAGGCAACTGGTTCACCCAGGTAAGTAAGGGCTGAATAGCAAGATGAGAAATGGACCCTTTCACCTCTCTCCTCCCCAGGCACCACCTCCTGTTTATTGTGATTTATTTCCCACTTCTGGGTTGACTTGCCCTGGTAAGGAGAGAAAAGTACTTTAAATTGAAACCCCACCTTTTATTTAAGATGAAACAGCTGTTACTTTTTTTTTAAAGGAATTATTGTTCAGTGACGTACAAAGACTCTGAAGTATTCTCATTAGCATATGCTGAGCAGGAATTAAAGAAAGCCTCAGATAATGATCTGAGCTATATAAGCTGGTGGAATCTGAGCCAAAGCAGACTGCCTAAATTGCAAAGCTCCGCTGAAGAGGGGTGTGCATGAAGGATGCTGAACTCTGGGCTGTACTCCCAGCAAAGCCTGCTATGGGGGAGCCAAGACTGATAGCTTTATTTACAGAAAGCAAAGTATGGGTATTTTTTTAAAGATTGTCATTTGACATATGCACACAACTCGTGTGGGGTTAACTAATTATCCCCATTTTCTGGTTTTCAGTGGAAGCACTGAGCAATTTATTGACCCTTGTTTCTGCCTGTGCTTGTATGCATGCATTTTCGAACCAGTAATAGAGCAGCGTCATGTAATCGTGGATGATATTGGGTTTTAGATATAGACCCGGCATTATAATCAAATCTACTGACAGCATCCACAGTCTTTTGGAATTCCAGGGAAAGAATATAATGACCTGATATTTTTCTACAAGAGTATTTTCAGACACCACATAGCATATTAGTGATTCAATGCTTTTATCTTTCAAAACAAATTCATTAAAAATACACTTAATATTTGATTTAGGAGTCACTTTCCACAAACCTTGAACATTAGCACTAGAATTTCATAGGCATTTGTAACCCTTCTTTTCCCGTATAATTTACATAGACAAATATTGGGGGTTAGATTTAGGCGTTTTTTCAGAATCGTGTTTGGCAAAGAGCTTTACAAAATGGAGACCGTGTTAAAGGAATGTGATTTCACTCACGCAGACATAAGTGTTTACTGAGTTGCAAAGTTTTATTTTAGATCAGTGTTTCCCAAAGCATGTATCCTGTAACACTGGTCCCAAGGGGCATTGAGTGGTGTTTTGTGCAGATGGAAGTTAAGAGGTTAGTAATCAAAAATGTTTGTTAAATACCAAGTTAGGAAAAGTTAAACACGTTTCACAACTGCAGGCCTCCTTGGAGACCTGAATGTACCCTGTGGCTCTCCAAGCGGGGGACCCCTCGGGGCCATTCCCTACATTCACCCACACAACAACTTTCTAACAGAGGAGCTTGTGAAGTTAGTGTTAAAAAAACACAAAACCACAACTTTGGAAAACACAGCTTTAGGCCGTCGTTAGGCCGTCGATTTTGTTATTTTGTTTGTCTGTTTCCTATTTTAAAATGTCGGAGAGTGAAGTCCCAGCTGACTATGGTAATGAAAGCTTTGATGCGTTTGTGAATTGTACTGCACTCTTTCATTATATATTTTCAAAATCACTGGAATGTTGTTATACAAGAGAATTATACTCGTGATTGTAAATGACATAATAAAACACATATATTAATGCCAACAGTTTAATTGAACAATATGTAATCTAAGGTGCTCAGTAGGACATGAAGTATGAATTAATTACTCATAATTAAATTGCAAAGATCCTATTATATATTTATAGACAACATGATCATAATTGCAAGTATTATTTCTTCATCACTTAAGTTTTGGACTGATTACTATCTGGGTGGGGATCAAGAGAAATGACATTCTCTGCATTTATAAAAACTTAATTTAAATATTTATATTTTAGAAAAAATATATTTGAATAAAATTAATGCATTTTCTGAATTAAAATGTGTTACTAGCAAGAAATAGAAAATTTTACTAAGAGAACTGTATATATGAATCATTTTATTTTCTTCCAAGTTACTGTATCATATCAGAGTGGCTATGACGAATCAATTGCAAACCCTCAATTTTTTTCTCATTTTGAATTTAACAAGTTACAATGGCTTTACCGTGTGGATCTTAATCTTGTCGTGATGCGTGTTAGGAATGTTGTGAATGACGCAAACTCCTATGTCTCGATCACGCCTGGTATCACCCATGAATCATCTGAGTCATTCTGGGTAATTTGTTTCTGCCTGATCCACTTTGTGCTCAGTCCGGTCCTTACACGAGTCAATGAATTATTAAATCTGCAACGTTTGTCCCTTTAAGGGCAACCTGACAGAAGAGAATGATGTGTGACTGTATGTACTTAGTGGGAAACTCCCCACTTGTTAGAGACGAGCTTAGGTGAGCTCTTTGCTGGGTGGCACATCTTCGAGCCAAGCCACGGGGATTCAAAAAGGCCAATGGTGACATAGTCACTTATCCCTGTTTTCTGATTGGAACTAGGTTCGATGAACAAAACCATACACCTATTGAAAAACATCCAGGCAGAGGCATTTAATTAATTCTATCAGCTGATGGAATGAAAAGGCTGAAAGACACACGCTCCTTTGTTTAAGCTTGTTGGCCTCTCTTGGCTGAAACAGAAGCCCTCCTCTAAAATCCCTGTGCCAGGGTCTCTCCAGCCCTTGCTTTACAGATACTCGATGTCCTATCTTGAGGGGATTGGAGGGGGTGGGGTGAGGGAGTAATTTTGGAATGTACCTTGAGTCAAAAAAAAAATGTGCCTATGTTTATAGCACCATGGATACCATGTAAAATTTATATGAGAGTTAAATAAATAAATATTCACCTCTGAGTACGGCAGACTGGCTGGTGGTTTCGTGATGGCCGCGGGAGGACAGGGGCGTGTGCAGACACAGCCTGCTGCTCTCTTCCTACAGACTGGCCGTTAGAAGGTGCTAGTGGGAAAAGGGGGTGCCCGTGGCAATTTTTTTTAGCTGTATATAGTTTCAGGCTGCGTCTTTGCCTGGGGCTTAGGGATCTCATTTTAAACTAAGTTTTCATGGGATTCTGCCAAGCTCCTTATACTCAAATTCTATAACACCAGAACTTGGCTTGTATTTAAATTGCTTATAATAAATGAAAATGTAGTAATATTGAGATTACATCTAGAATGTAGAGTCTCAATTTTGAGGAAACTTTAGAAGTCATCAAGCACATGAGTGTCCAAAGTTTATTTGTAATTTTAGCAATAGTACCTTGGTATCTTAAGAGTATACAATTTGCTAGTGATAGAACACAGCAAGTAGATATAAAAATAAACATAAGCCAATTAAAAAATTTAAAGAGTCTGTACCACCTGAAGTTATTGCACATACACTATGGCCCAGGTACTACATTTTCAAAAATGTTGACTTTGTGTAACATGCCACTGAACTCAGAAATTTCTTCCTCAACATACCGTGTAGTTATATTTTATCCCACCAGAAATAAAAACATTTCCAGCTATAGAAGGGAGCTCCCTCTCTCCGAGGCAGGCCGCTCCATCGCTTCAGCAGCCACAGTCGTTCAACGGTTCACTTTTAGAGCCAGAACTTACATCTGCCTGACTTTGGCTCATCACCTTGTTCTACCCTAGAAAACACTGCAAGTCCCGTCTTTCCCACACTAGTGTCTTATATAAAATGACAATTTAAGGCTGGGGACTACTAGGTAACATAATACGATCTGAAAATGGTTTTAAATAGAACATTTATAATTCCTCATTTTCATCTTTAAAATAGCAATTGGCCAAGACTAAAACCTTCCATGACACCAAGTGGTGGAAAGTCATGGGAAAACAAGCAATTATATCCACCCATTAGCGGGCATATATTTAGCAATAATTTGGATAGCAATTTGCCAATACATATAAAACTTTAAAAAATGCATGTGCCGGTTTTCCCTCTCCCACAATACCTCTCATGTGCTCTCTTTCCAACCTGGGCCCGCCATCAGGGCTCCCGCAATGAAGGGTGGCAAGAAGAAGGGCTGTTCTGCCATCAAGCAGACAGTGACCAGAGAATGCACCATTGACATCCACGCACGCACCCATGGAGTGGGCTTCGAGAAGCGCGTCCCTCGGGCACTTAAAGAAAGAGACATGGCAATCTGCGGTGAAGGAGATGGAACTCCAGATGTGCGCAAGGACACTGGGCTCAACAAAGCCACCTGGGCCACAGGAGTGAGGAAAGTCCCACACCGTGTCCGGTGTGGCTGTCCAGAGAACATAATGGGGGTGAAGATCCCCACACAAGCTCTGTACGCTGGTCACCTGCGTACCTGTCACCACTTTGAAAATTCTACAGACACTTAGTGTGGATGAGAACTAACTGCTGATTGTCCACTAGAGGTATAAAACTGCAAAAAGAAAAATAGGATATAAAATAAAAATACATGTGCCTTCTGTTTTACAGGAATTTATCCTAGAGACACAAACTGTGCAAGTACACAAATGCTAATGCATAAGGGTCATCTCTGCAGCACTGTTTGTAATGAGAAGCTGGAAAGGTTGCTGTGACCACCAAGAACTAAATAAATCCTCACCCACTAGGGTGAGGATTAGAATATTGGGTGTGCATTAGAATATTGCACAACTGTTACATTAATGGCCCATCTGCAAGTGCTAATGTGGATGAAATTTATAAATGCAAGGTCTGAAAAATGCAGATACGTACAGGTAAAAAATGCAGATATGCACATTTTATCTGTTCTTTAAAAAGTGGTTCTCGAGAAGAGTGGCACTGTGGGATTTTTGGAAATCTGTGCCAGTGTTTTCCTGTCACAACGCCTGGTGGGGAGGGACACTCTCTTGGGACAAACTGCACAGAAGCCGGAGGTGGTGAGCTGCCTGCAGTGTGAGGGTGGTCCCCACACACAAGGAAACTGTTCCTCACACAGAGTTCGCATCCTCGGAGTTACTCACGCGGGTCAAAACCACAATTATCTGAGCCTAGACCTTGACTACATTTGATGTAACATTTTTTTGGTCTGATTCAATATATTCTGAATTTTCCAGATATGCAATTACCATGGACATGGCAGGAAGACTATTTTTGTTTTGCTCAGGGCATTTTATAAATTGTTTTATAAGAACAAGTCATGGGTAGCAAGTGTGAAGGTGGCGCTTGAGTTACCAATACATCTGACTACTTTTATATGTGCCTCACTCATGCTGAATCTACAGAAAAATGACCTCATTTGTCTTTGAATGTACCTGTTGTACCCCAGCACCTCCATGTTGAATTGCATATTGTTTTATTGTCATTACTTTTTCCCCAAAATTTACAGTTAGGGGATAATAATAAAAAAATCCTGGGTGCACATAGGTTAAATGAGAATCCTGGGTATGTCCTGTGTGTTGCCGTGGAAACCCTCAATGCCAGCATCTAAGCTCCTAGACTCTGGGCCGCTTACTCAATGTTAGGGACTGCTACCTGTGCTTGAACTAAAAGTCTTCTGAAACGCACCCTCCCTCAACTTCCCCGTTGGCTGTAGCCAGGCTGAGGAGATGCGTGCTTGCATTTCTGGGTTCTGTCATCGGTTCCAGACCCAGGTGGCAGGCCACACTGCAGGGCATAAGGCCTGGTAACCTGAGCAGCTGCTAAAAGGAAATGACCTGAGCTACTCAAAATTATAGGGGGCTGAAATCTTTGTGGGCCAAACAGGAAATAATAGGAAGGAGCTGGGCAGATAAATAACCCTTTTCCCCTCCCTTCCTGTGGATGCGCTGGCCGTCTATTTGGGTCTCATGAAGCACTGGCCAGTGCAGGAATGGATCACCCTCCCTTGCTTTCCTGCCTTCCCCGCCATCTTTTCCCTATGCAGCTTCTTCACTCTCAGTGCCCTGGAGCTGGACCTCCTAAATAAAGCCTCAGCACTTCATCCCTAACTCAGCTGTTGTTTTCTAGGGAGCTTGTCCAAAGACTTTTATTATTTTTACCTCGACAGCAATGGGGATGAAAAATACTTCTTATACACGGGGTGTTGGGTTTGATCAGTGGAGGAAAAAATGGACTCAAAATATGCTTGTACTTGTACAAAAATGCCTGAAAGCATATATTTTTTTAAATAGCCCTCATCATCAGTTATTGCTGGGAAACAGGGCCAGCACCTTGAGGATGACCTCAATACGCTTCCGCACTACGTGAACTTCTTAAATGGGCATTTAAAACTCCTTTGCAAGAGGTTTTCTTGTTGCGGGTAAATAATGCTCTGATAATGGTGAATAATGTTTTTAAGTTGTTTATAAAATCCTGAATAACAAAATGATTGCATTCATGGCCAGAAGTGAACGATCGCGTCACCTGCGGTCTTCTGAATCACACCCGGTCCGACCTCACAGGGGAAAGCAAGTCCAGCGCCTCAGCAACGTGGCCGAGCCGTGTCCGAGCGGGTGTACGATCACGTGTGCAGGACGACAGAAAAGCCTCTTACCCTCTAGTCATCCTTTCTCGGACATAAATAAGGCCATAGTTTCTTAGGAGACTATGAGACTCGGTACAAAGAACGCGGCTCAGACAGTGTCAGAGTGAGGAGTGGCGCTGAGCTGGAGGATGGCGACGCGTGAAGGGGGCAAGAGACAGGAGTGGGGTGGATGCCAACCAGCCCGTCCCCTGTGGAGACGGGACCCCCAGGGACGAGGCCTCCCACCTGGACTCTGACCTTCAAGGCGAAGCCCATGGGCCTGATGGCTGAAATTCTGCCTTGCCTTGGACCAGGGCCTGGGAATGCTGGGGAAAAAAAATAACTCCATTCTTCCCAAGAAACAAAGCCAGTTATATTTTCAGCAAATTTCAACTATAATTCTTTGGATGAATAAAGCCCATTTCCTCCAAAGAACTCAAAGGCAACACCCAAGAAAGACCCTCACTTTATGCCTCATTAACTGCAGCTTCTCTGCCTTGTGATTCTCACCTGCACAAGGGGTGAAGGAATTGCTTCCTTGGCAAGTTTTCTGGGTCCCACGAGAAAGGCAAATACAGGCCAAAAAGCAGCTTTCTTTTTTCTGCAAGTAGGGCCTTCAAACTAAGGCCTTAATAAAGGTAGCTTTTGCAACTTTCCTTCTTGGACTTGGCCTCTCAATGAATTCTTCAATGTGAACGGAACCTAATGTTTATGTTGGTTGTAAACCACCTCCCAACCCGGTGGCTTACAACGTAGCAACTTATGCTTCCTCACTATTCTGTGGGTGGGCTGGGCAGTCCCTTGCTGGACCGGCCCAGGCTCACTCCCGTGGCTGTATTCAGCTGGCGCACTCTGCTGGACTGGAAGGCCCCAGATGCCTCACTGGCTGTCCGAGGGGCCACCTCATTCTCTCCTGGCTCCTCATCGTCTAGTAGGCTAAACCAGTGCCCTCATGAGGCTCCCTTACAGTCAGGGCCAGATTCTGTGAAGGCAAACCAGAAGCTGCAAGCTCACACCATGTCATTTATGCCACCATACATGGTCAAAGCAAGTCACGTGGCCAGTCCAGATACAAGGACTAAGGAAACAGATGCCATCTACTCATGGGAAGAGCTCAGAGCTCTGTGGTCATATTTAACTACCACATTCTACTCTCTGGGCACCATTATTTGCATTCTCCCACATGCAAATTATGTTCATTTCCTCTCAATACGGCTCAAGTCTGGTATTTCATGATCTTCACCTGGTCCAGGGAGGGCTGAGACTTCCGAGGGTGTGCTTTCTTAAAATCCAGACTATTGTGACATACTTAACTAAATAAACTAGGCAACTGCCACTTAGGCGTCCAACATACAATGGTAAGGGAGGGGCAGCATACCCGCAGCAGGTACCCCCTTTCATTCAGGCCCAGTCTGCCTCCACAGTGGTTGTGAAGTCCGGTGGGCACACGTGATCAGTTCTCACCACCAGGGGCGGGGAATGGGGACCGGGATTCTTTCTGATACCTGAGAGTGGTGCTCTAGTCCCTCATTCTGGGCTCTGCCTTGTGACTCTTAGCTATGAC